AATGTGATTTTGTTTCCCATACTTTTATGTTCCTACTTAGCATAGGAACTACACAGTTTGCTTTGATTTCATAAAAGTTAATTTCAGACCTTCTTTTGTTCATCAAATACAGTTTCAGCTCTCCAGATGCTAATACTTTAGCAAGGCAACACAAATATCAAGTCGGAAGTCAATGCACTTCCCTTTTTATGAGTTGCATTATCAAATATTAAAGAATGAACAAAGGCCATACTGTTTCAACAACTAAATCCCAATAATGGTGGTGTATCCTTTCAGATTTCAGCAGTTATACTTGTGTCCACGGTATCAGAGTCCTAGGAATATTTTTAAGGAATCTCTTTTGTTTCCTGTTGTGCATCACCAGCTACCATGGGTCAGCGAGAACCAACAAAGGAGGGTCTTGAATTATGTCTACAATGTCAGGCTTTAATCAGATTTACATATCGGTGATGATGAATTTCATATGTTAGGTGTAAAGAACAAATTTCTCCCTAAGTATAGACTCTAATACAAGCCCTCTGTGTCATATGAAGGCTAGGTAAGACTGGGAAAGGCAGGACAGATTCATGATCACAGACACACAGTATTTTCAGACAGGATAAAATATGTGAAATCTTACCATGGGTCCTTTATTAGAAACACATTCAAACTGTACATATTCTTAAGGAATAGTCTATAGTAGTAGAATAGGAGGAAAAGGTATGCCAGTCAAACATCATATAAAAGATGTCAGGTGAAATTTACTTTAAGGAAAAGACCATTATTTTTCTCTAAGACAAAATTTTAAAATAAGGTATCCACTACAAGCTAGAATTCCTTTCATTTTTATATTATTTTACAAAGGCAAATGCATTATTAAGTAATTAATTCCTAGTAAGTCTATAGTGACTTACTAGGAACTGTGATATTCTAATATTAATTCCTTCACACTAATTTAAATCATCGAGTTTCAGTGGTCTCATCTACTTTCTCAATTTTCAGCATATGAATAGTACCTAAAATCTGAATTTCCTTCTGCTGAGTCACATGCCACGGTGGCATAAAACTTACCCTAATTGCTTAAATGCTTGCAGGGTTAGAAAAATATATCAAATGTTTAGGAAGCCTGCTTTGAAATAAATATAAATGTTTTTATATATGCTGTTTTCCAGTACTGTGTTAAGCATTTTTTAAAGAGAGAATGTGAACTTAGACACAGGATTAGCAGCACCATTCTGGTATAAGATCCCCTTTGCATCCTCTGCTAGTCTGTGGGCCTAGGAAATCTAGAATATTCTAACATGGCCCAGACTGAAGGCTCCAGTGTTAATTTTTCTCCTGTCATATAACAAATTAATAAACAGCAGTGATAACAGTATTGAGCCCAAAGTAGTTAACACTGGAAGTTCCAAAGAACTAGTGTCTCAACTAATTAAATGACTCTGACACATCAAAGGTAAATGAATGTATCATTTCTGAATCAACTACTTGGAGAATCATGATAAGTATGATGATGATAATTTTTTTGTACCAGGGAAAGCTCACAAGATTGAAACACCACCAGAATAATAAAGCTTTTAAAAGAAGGAACACGCAAAATATCAGCCGTAACTTTAATCATTCTTAAATTATATTTGTGATTATCAGGATATTTGTGCTCAGAGATAATATTATAAATCAAGTGTTTTTCATCATTAGTAATGTTTCTTTTCACATGGTGCTTACATTTGACCAAAAGTGAGATGAGAGTTAAGATGGTGTTCTCTCTGTGACCCTGAAACCAACTTGGCTTAACTATAGAGAGATTTTCCAGATCTAGAAATGCTTAGAAATAAAACTGCAAAACAGGAGGTCTGGGAGTAATGACAATTATATTTTCTTCTTTCATCAAAAACAACTTTAAATGTTCATTTCGATTTTACTGTAGAACTGTCCTATTGTAAAATACAATGCTGCTACCAGCTGTGGTAGTGATTATATAGATTATAGATTTATAATAAAATAAAAATGCTACTCAAGTTCTACTATATTCACAAATACTGCATTTATATATGTACATGCAAGTAAACCTCATTATTAATGATAAAATTTTAGGGTTTTAAATAGGCACATTTCCTCCTACCTGTCCATTTCCATATATTTACAACCCCAAGATAAGTTTTCACAAGTAACATTTAAGTTTGTGAAGGAAAAGGTTAGTATTTCCAGTACCTAGCCTCTCCCCCTCCCTTCCAGCTTTGGGAGAGTAGCAGCCCATAAAACTGAATGCACAAACTACCGTTATAAGACTTTCTGTGATTCACATCCACACCTGTTGGCTGCAACAGGTCTGAAGAGTTTTGGACAAAGTAATGTATTTGCATGTACAATATAATAAGCCTCTCATAAGAGTGATTCTCTGCATACACACACGCACAAAACATATAAAAATGTTTCTTAAAAGTAGTATTTTAACTATTCTGTGTAACCCCCCAAATGAATCAGCAATGAATACTTTTATACTGCAAATATTATGATTAATTAACAAACTGTTTTGTATCGCCAACGACAACCCTAATAAAAAAGGCAAGGAAAAAAGAGAAAACAGAAGCCAGTGATTGTAAAAGAAGAAAAAAAATTCTAGATATACAAATATGTTAAATGTTACTATACAAAGATAGTAACTATAAAGTTTACCTGAGCCTACCCATATTACTAAAAGCTTTTGACCATCAGTCTTGACCTCAGGGTAAGAGTCTGGCCTCTTCCCACAAGCATACAGGAGCCATAACTTTCTGTAGCCTAAAAGGAAGATTCTTTAGAGTGAGTACCTGCACTCCAGCATGCCTGATTTTCCCCCCTATGACTGTCTTATTTCTGTTCTTAACTTCTCAATCAAACTAAATGAATTCTTATCTCTTTGTTATCACTAAGTGGTTTTAAAGTTCTAGGACACTAACACTAACATATCTGAGGTGTTTTATAAATAATCATCTTTTGGATAAAAGGTATGGCACGGAAATAATCTTTTAAGGGTCTGTTTTGGTTTCAGTGCTTTGAAAAGAAAGGATGGTGTACCAGTAGGTCTCTGCACGCCATTTTCTGAAGTCTTGTTTGACTGCAGACCTTGGGCCAGATCACATTCAGCACTTCAGTCCTCATCAGTCCTCTCCACAGCATTGTGATAACACGGTTTCCAGGGTAACTTCCTCAGCAGCCCTGTAAACTGTGAGTCACTGAGATGATACACAGGTGGTCTGGCTTCAAGTTTCACACAATTGGGCTATGAAGCATCCCGTACAGAGAAGGCAGCACCCAAAGGAATGAGCAGAACACGCTTAAACGATACCCACTACTAAATTTTACAGCTGTCCTTTTATATTCAAACAAGATTAAGCACACTGTTATGTTAAACTGAAAATACTTTAGATCTAAAAATATACTACTGAAACAAATGACATAGCAAGAAACAAGACCAAAATCTATTTGTATAAAATACAGTCTGTAATTTCAGAACAAATGCTTCATATAGCCATACTCAGACACCTTCTAAATTATAATCCAGGCATTTATATTTTTAAAAATTACCTCTGGTGAATTTCAAATTTAGTATTTTCACAGAGTTTAAATATCTATAATGAATCATTGTTTCTTTTCAGAACTGGAACTGAGCATTAATATAATTCTAAAACAAGATTCCTGATTTCAGAGAACTGTGTCTTCAGATAACCTTTCTCCACAAATGATTAGAATTAAATAACTTCCTGAAAATTATACTTTCTCTCTTTTGAATGGGCTCCAAATAGAAAAGTTCTTGAACTGGGATTCATTTTAAGTTTTTGCTGGTTGGGATTCTTCTATATTACTTTAACAACATTATTACATTTTATCATATCTTCTCCCAAGACAAGCTGTTCATTGTATGTTGTTCTCAAGTATTGAGCTGAAACAAAACCTAAAGGAAGAAATTATGCTTCTTGCTTCAATTTTCCTTAAACATCGGTGATCATTTCAGTCATAACAACTGCCAGGGTTGTGTTCTTTATTCTGGATTCCTAATTATAAAGGATTGAGAGTAATTCAAAAGTGTTTCAGAATCAACTACTGCCAAGATTCTGGAGAATGTCTCTTGAGAAACAGAATGTAAATGCTCTGAGGACTGTTGCATCTGCATGGACAGGCTCTGTGCTCTCCGATGTGATGAGCGGGTAAAGGGCCAGGTCAGCATCCTAATGCACCTACCGACCTGCTGCTCTGTCAGCCAGCAGACACTGAGAGCCCATGTTGTTTCCACGGTTAGCCATCTGTGTTAATTTCTAAAGCCAGCGAGTATAAAACTCAGGAGAATCAGGTGGGCAAATTTGAGTGTTATGGCCACTTCTGTGTTGATATAAGTATTCTAGACCATGAATGCCGACAGAAATGTTTCCTGAGGATTGTCTAAAATGAGCAAAATTTCAGTAGATGTTTTAGTTCTTAAACACCTATTTATTTTAAACTCATCTGTTGTAAGGAGCTATGGAGGACCATCAACTTTTGGCCTGCTTCACAAATAGCAAGTTTTATACTGTTACTACGCTTGAGACTTGGAAAACTCTTATCTCTTATCCTTATCTGTAATGAAATTATCTTGGAAATCTTAACTCCTTTATGATTAAATTAGTAATAACCAATTGTGATAACCAGCACATACAAATGCACACACATAAGGATAAAAATAAAATAAAATAAGCCTGACAGAGAGTATGTTAATAAACTTCACCAGAGAGATGGCCAAGAAGATGGCACAGCTCCTTTTCCATTTTTATAAGACATAACGAAAGTAGTATTTTGGAAGGTTATAAAGTTATTGTTTTCCATTTTTACTATTTCTTAATAAAAGTAGTGTTTTTTGTCTTTTTTTGCATATGTATGTACAGACTCTAAAGGTAGGCAAGTAAGAACTGCGAGACCAGTGAGTGAACTGCTACACTAATCAGGTGAGAGACCTGGGTTTCCTATTAGGAGCCCTTCTGAATGGCTTAATTCCTTTGCAGCTACCATTAGCTGTCAGCCTCCCCATGGATATTGTCCATGTGCACTTTGAGGTAGTCATTCCTTGTAAACTTTTTATGGCAAAACTGGCATTCTGCCAGCGGACGATTGGGATTATGAGTCATCTTGTGTCGGATCAGCATTTTCTTCAGGCTAAAAGCCAAGTCACAAACCTAGAAAAGACCCAAAGATACCAGTCATATTATATTAAAAAATCTGAAAATACACAAATTTATCACTTACACAGGTAGCGGTGTAAGAATCTGCCTGGTAAAGAATTTCTTTACCAGGTAAAGAATCTGCCTGCCAAGCAAGAGACATGGGTTTGATCCCTGAGTTGAGAAGATCCCCTGGAGAAGGAAATAGCAACCCACTCCAGTATTCTTGCCTGCAGAATCTCACAGACAGAGCCTGGCGAGTTAGGCTTAGTCAGACATGACTTAGCGACTAAAGAACAATAATCACTTACACAATATACATTATGCAAATTCTTATTATCAATATGTGCTGACAGGCATAAAAACAAAAAAGTGCTCTTGAAATAAATGGGATTTAACATGCAAGGTAAGAAGTAAAGACAAGTACAGCTCTAAGAGGTGTCTGCATTGAGTACGTGTCTTCTGTGTACCAACATGCCTCAATTCCCCCACCTACTATGTTTAAACATCTCTAGAGAAACAACTCCCTGGAAACAGTATTTTTCTTTTCATAATGGAGTGTATTAATGATTTCATATTAAACCTGTTATTAAACAAAATGTCTTATGGTCTAGATGGCATCTATCTAGTACTTGGCATAAGTAGCACAAGATGTGTCTCACTAGTGAGTAATTTGGACCCATTTGTGAAGTAAAAGATTAACACTGCTTTAAGCATCCTAACACACTCAGTATTCCAATAAAAGTACTTCATTTAACACGTTGTCTTCATGTAAAGAAAGATGTGGCTGCCACATTGCCACCTAGCTCAACAGACATTAAACAGCTGAATAACTGAAAATATTAAATTATCCCAGAAGATGTGAGCATAATCATACAAAAGTAAAAATGAAATGGAAATCTTTTATAGTACCAAATTTTCACTAAAAGTTTGGTGTTATTCACAAAAATTCCACTTACTTGAATTCTTCAAAAGCACGTGCACTGTAAAATAAGCCACACTTAAATAATGTGAAAATTCCATGAAAAACACAATGAATACAATGGGAGAGGTAAAGGCCCGTAAAATACTGGAATGGAAGCTGAAAATCTGAATGAGGTGAAGCTTGTGAAAATATAAAAGCAAATAAAAATATTCACCTCTCTCTTTATGGGAGAAGGGGGATTTTATGTTGATAGCAACAAGAAATTCAGAAGGGCAAGCCCCCAGTGTGGTAAGGAGAGAGAGTAATCCAATAATGTATTTTGCATTATACAGAAGTAGCAGCCTAGTATGGTCTAAAGGAAGTAAGTTTTAGAGTCTGCTATGGGTTGAATGCTTGTGTCTCCTCAAAATTCCTAAGTTAAAGCCCTAATCCTCAGTGTGATGATTATGGAGGTGCAGGAACTGGGCGATCCTTAGGTGCAGATGAGCTCACGAGGATGGAGTCCTGTGATGGGAGTCACACCCTCACAAAACCAGGAAGAGATACAGATTCTCTTCTCTCTCTGTCTCTGCCTGCACATGCCAAGGAAGGCCATGTGAGGACACAATCAGGAAGGAGGCCCCTCACTAAAACCGCAACTACCCCAGCACCCTGACTTCAGACCTTCACAGGAAGGCAGAGAATCTTCGTATGTTCTGTTCACTCATATATCCTAAGGGGTAGACAGTGCCTACAGACTAAGCACTAAGTATTTGTTGAATTAACTCACTGAGTTTCAATCTGATTCTATCACTTACTAAGGAAGTTTCAATGAACAAATCATGCCTTTTAACTTCAATTCTGTCACCTATAGAATGATCACGATGAACATTACCTCCCAGAATTAAGATTAAATGAGGTAACCTATGCAAATAGATGCTATATTGCAGACAACGTTAATGCCTGTTTTCTTCTCTTTCATCTTCTCTGTCAAAAGAATCATCAGCAGGTTGGAAAGAGGAAACCACACCAGTCACCAGGTGTGGAATCTGAGAGAGAGCACAGCTACTATCAAGAGTAGCAGCTCCCCATAACATACAAATGATTTTAAGGCAAATAGAATAACTTTCCAGAACAAACACAATGCTTCCAATCAAGCTTAGGAAAGGACCCTTCTTGTGAAATAAGTTCTACAGCCATAATTCAAAACAGAGCACATACCTTTAAATAGTCTCTGAGAAACAAAGCTGGGAAGTTTCATGTAGCAAAAATCAGGGGATAAAAAGGAAAAACTCAAGAATATGAAAGGGCATGAAATACAAGGACAGATGATATAATACACAAGTTATGATAAGTGATATAAAATACTGAGTCAACCCTTTAAGACTGAAATTAGGGTAAAAAGGAAAATGCAAACTCATGCGATTTTCAAGAAATGCACTTATTAACTAACACACACACATATGCCCAAACATGATTCTAAAACAGGGAACAGAATATGCATAATTACAGAAAATGATGCTGATGGGAGGGTAATGGTACCGAGAAGCCCTTACCCCAAAGCATCTTGCATAGAGAGGTTATTAGTATTTTCACAAGCCTTAAAAGAACCAGGAGTGCTACCTGTATGAAGAGCTCTTAGTTCAAGATGTACAAATAGGATGTTCATCACAGAATTATTTACAGAAGTGGAATATTACAAATGACTTACTTGCCCAAAGTTTAAGAGTATATTCATTTTTTATATAACCAGATGAAGAAATACTTCTCAGCTAGTTAAAAAAAAATCATACTTCAAAAAATACTAAAAGGCAAGGGAAGGCAAGAAAACAGAATAATAGTAATGTACAATTTAATTTACAATACTGAAATAAAGATCATAACTATATATACCTGTATAAATAAGTATGAGGAAAAATATCAAGAGACTGACATTAATATTAGTTGGTATCAGTTGAGATATTTGGTCATTTTATTTCTATCTTTATTCCCTTCCATATTTCCTAATTTTTCTGAAACAGAAAAGGAAACTTTTATAATTAGAAAGCAAATACTATACTTTGGAATGAAAAAAGTACACTTGGTTGATTGAAGGATCCACGTCGTCATGTTCCATCCATGCCTCAAGTGCACTCCCACCAGAATTCTGCCTTAGTAAGTACTTTTTAACTCTAAGCTACTTTGATGCATCACCAACAACCTCCACATGGCAGCTGGACTCCAGAAACCTCATTTAGCCTGAAGTTTCAGCATCGTACGACATACCTGGCCCTCTCCTTCTGCCTTGCATTTAGTTTCTCCTAGTCTCTTCTATTTTTTCTGGCCGTGTCCCCCTCATCACAATGTCTGTTTCTTAGCCCACGTCTCCATTCACTAGCTGTTTTCTCCCCTGGGCATCGTCATGCTTTTTCTGACTCTTTATATGGAGCTCACTTGCCAAACTCTATCTCTGATTTGGTCTACTCTCCTGATCTGTACAGTGGAGGATTTAAATGCTTGTTGAATAAGATATTTCAAATTTATCAAGTCTTAAACAGCACTGGAATCTAAAAAGCACAGCAAACTAGTGACTGTAACATGCAGCAGCAGACTCACAGAGAGAGGACGAACTCGTGGTTACCAGAGTGAGGCGGCGGCTGGGGCAGTCCAGGGGCAGGGGGTGAACAGGCACAGACTACCAGGGATGTGATAAGCTACAAGACACACAACACAGAAGTACAGCGAATATTTCACAATAACTGTAAAAGAAATACAACCTTTGAAATTGTGAGCCACTATACTGTACACCTGTAACTTATCAACTGTACTTTAATTTAAAAAAAATAAAAAGACTGACTCCCAAATCTAATTCTCTTAAAAAAAAAAAGGTGCCACCTGTCTGACATCTGCTGGAGATCTGGCTCAGCCTCAATCCTACGTCTCCCTGGTTCCCACCTCACTGAGTCACCGCCACTTCTCCCGCATGCACGTTTCTAGAAGGTATGTAATTGTCTCCATCTCTCTGCCGCAGCCTGAGCACAAACCATCACCTGCCTAGACCAGTGCTTCTCCAGCCAAAGGAAACAGTTCCGCAGGCCCCACTCATCAGTACCTGTCAATAAAATATATTGAGTGTACTGACAGTATAAATGCGAGTTACACTATTAAAGACAAACTTTTAAAAGCATGTGAAAAAGATGAAGCAAAGTTTTATGCTAATAATTATGACTTCATACTTTCATTAGGTAATATCTAAGATATGATACAGTATATTTAGACTCAAAGTCATCTTTAACAAAAGTGTAGACAAATAAGTGTCTCTTCTGGATAATTTCAATTTTTGGTTTACTTTTTTTCAGATATGATGGTGTCATTTTTTAAATCTAAATTTACTGCTAACTAGTAATTTTAACTCTGCTGTTTCTTTCTGTTACTTTGTGCTTATATTATTAATATCATTTTCAACCTGTGGTTTCTATGTAGGACTTTTCTGTACTCTATTTTAAAACAGATAGCAGAATCCACATTCCTACTTCATGGGCACATAAATCACAAAGCTAACAATGCGTAGAAACAGACCAGAGACAACCTGCGTCACTGTGGGATTGCTGCTCTCACCTCAGGTCACACTTGGTGTGTGCACCACATGAGACTACCTGGGAACCAAGCCCTCTGTTCAGTGATAACAAAGCTTAATTCTGTTCCCACTGTGATCATGTATGATGAGCAGGGATTAGAGCTGTAATTTTTCCTTCCTGCTTCCCCATGGATGCCTCCTAGCCTCCTGGGATGCGCAGCACCTCACTCTGAAAACCAAAGTGTACGTTATTACAGTAGCCAATGCCATTGGTTCTCAAACAGTGGTACAGTTTTCCCTCCTCTCAGGAAAATGTTCGGAACTGGGGGGATGTGTAACCATCCTGAAGAATGGGGGTTACTGCCTGCATGTTGTACAGGGGCAGAGAGGCAAATTTCCTGTGACTTGTGGACAATTTCACACTGTCAAAAGTAGCCAGGTTATAAACACTACCTGAATCCTTCTGCATGCACCCTTACCCCTTCTGTCCATGCTCCACCCAGCAGCTGGAAGATTTTCAAAAGTACAAATATCATATTGCTACCTACAAATTGT